AAATCTGAAAAGGGAAGAGAAGATGCCTCTGCTGATGAGGAGAGAATAGAAAGATTTGACGGAGAACATACCTGAAGGATTATGAGGCCACCACAAAGAATCTTGAAGAGGAGAAACATTCGGCTGAAAGCCTTGAATGAAAGAAAGGAGATTTGCTATATCAGATTTATCCTCATCAGTGCTGCCTCTTCTAAGAATAGGTTGCCACCTCCAGAAGTTATGATGGAAAATACCATAAGAATAGATAGAACATATACGGGAGAAGGTGAGAAAATGAGCATTGGGAAATAAGCTACTGAGGGAATTTTCACCTGTCCATCTATCATTCTAGAAACTACATGTGAGACCACCACCTAAATTCCAACAGGCATGGCGGAAGAAGGCGGATTGAAAAGAATATAGATCCTTGATGAATTTTGAGGCAGAACACTTAGGAGGATAAGAAAATGGGTTAGAGTTGTTAGTTGAATAAAGAGAGAAGAAGACTCTGCTGATGAAAGAGTCCCTATCAAAAATTTTCCATAACCACTTAGAAAGGAGGACTTGGTTAAAGACATGGAGATTGATAACCCCTAAACCTCCTTCCCTCTTAGGTCTGCAGATAGAACCCCATCTGACCAAACATTTAGTGTTTGATGTCTGCTGTTGACCTCCCCAAAGGAAGTTTCTCCTAATTTTGTCAATCTCTTTTATGACACCAGATGACAATTTGAAAAAAGACATGTAGTATAAGGGAAGGGAGGAGAGGACAGAGTTGATCAGGGTGAGTCTCCCCCTATAGTGAGTTTTTTATTTTTCCATAGGGCAAGTTTTTTTGAGAAAGAGTCAAGAAGCAGTTGCCACTCACGCCTAAAGAGAGAGTCTCTTTTAAGAGGAATGCCAAGGTAAGAGAAGGGTAGAGAGCCAGCTGGACAATTGAGGATATCAGCTAATTGAGAGCCTTTGTTTGGGGTTCTGCCTAGGTAAAATAGGCTGGACTTGGAGTTGTTAATATTGAGACCAGAGATGCTTGCATAAATAAGAAGAACAGACTTGAGATTGAAGATATCATGCTACACATTTTTTTATTGAATCATATCTTATTATTTTTTTGTTATTATAGTAATTGTATCTTGTTCTTGATCACCTCTTCTGCTTCTGTCGTAAAGAAATTCATATGTTACCACATCTGAACGCTATTCATAAAAAAATAAATGGTGTTTTCTATAAGTTTATTTTCTATGGGGGAACAAACGTAAAGGCGGTTCTTTATCAAATCAATACACCAACCAAAAAAATCTCAATGACACCCACTTGTATGTTTCTTACGCCCACTTGTAGCTTAACACCTATGTGCCACCTAACGTGATGCATGCATATGCCCACAACTTCATATGGATCTCACATTACTATCTCGTTAGATAACATCATGAGTTACCTCAGCCGTAGCCGCCTCCTAGCCGCTACCTCTAGCCGCTCTATCCCCTCCTAACCCGCCTCCTAACCATCTCCTAGCTACCTCAACCACCTCCTACTGTTCTTACTATATGCTACTAATTATGTATATATTGTCTACTACTAGGCTACTAATTATGTGTATATATATCTTGAAACTGATCTGATGATCATATAAAGTTATCAATATTAAGTTCTCTTCAATATCAACTTAACATGGTATCAGAGCCATCCTCTTTATTCTAGAGAGACCACTCCTTCTCCTCCGGTCTCGGCACCACCGAGGGGTTTACCCACACTTCCCCTCGACGTCTTCGACTATCATTAGTCTCTCCTTCCTCACTAATGAACTGAAGTTTCATTACCCCTGCTCAACCATCGCTGCTACTCCAAATCGCCTCCCAGTTGCTCAACCATCACTGGTCAACCCTCTTCTTTGTCTTACTCCTCTTATTCTAGTTGCCAACAAACCGATCTAGCTCCCAAAGGGTCTCATTGTCCATCACCTCAAAGTCTATCTCAACCTCATCCACATTTTGTAATGTCTCGTTCCTCTTACTAACAATCTGCAACACTTTGGCCATCTTCTCGTCTGGAAAATTCTGGATGCACCAGTCGAGCCTATGCTTCTCCTCCAAGCTCATTGCCCTCTTACTGTTTGGATCATTCACCTCTGGATTCCAGGGCTACTCCATCGGCCACATTGTCTGGTGATCCTGCTGCCTCCACCTGATCCACGGGACTAGGCCTTGTTGACGGTGATGCTCCTCCCAAGCTCTCGTCAAAGCTCCTCTTGCCTCCCTGTTGACTCTCTCCAAGTCTGAAGCCTCTCAAGCTCCTCTAAGCTGAGCGTCGATCTCCCAAGCCCGAGATCTTGGGTTGAACTCCTAACCGAGATCTCCTCTTACAGACTATGGAAGATCCCTTGGCTCCTCGTCTCCGCCTCCCGAGATCTCGCATCGAACTCCTGACTAAGATCTCCTCTTGCAGATGACGACAGATCCCTTTGTAGCCTTTCTCGTCATTGTTGTGGTGATTTGCTCGTTCGTCGGCGTCACCATGGCCACCGATGCGCTTGCTCCCAGCCCGGCTTCTGCTGCTTTGGCCCTCGCCGCTCCGGTATCCGTCGCTTTTATCTTCTCCGCTGCTGCGATCTTCGTCGAAGCTCTTCGTCAGTGACAGATCTAGCCGGTTTGGGGTAGATCTAGGATTTCTAAGCTCGAATCTCAGTTTCAGCTTCTCCATTCTAAACAGCAATCAAATCATGTCAATGGGAGACATCGCCTACAGCTACGCTACTCTCATCCTCCACGATGAAGGAATCCCCATCATGGCGGATAAGATCTCGACCATGGTGAAGGCGGTCAACATCCAGATCATGTCCTACTAGGCGCCGCTCTTCGCTAGGCTGTTCTAGAACAGCAGCGACTGGGCCCCTCTTCACCGCCCTCGCCGTTGATGCTTCCAATCCCAACTCGCCCGTGACTATAACAGAGCGCCAGGTTGTAGATGATCTTGTCTTAGGCCTAGCTCATAACATTAGCTTTGGATCTTTCTTTGCCTTCCGCCTAATCGAGTTGTCATCCAGCAATAGCTGCGAGCTGCTCGCTTTTATGAGTTGAAGAGAAATGGGGGAGAGAGACTCCTTTCTCATTCATTCACCTACTCCTTTCCTATATTCTTCTCATTAATTAATAAAAATTGTTGGCTGCTACCTAATTACCTTGGGGCTTTTAAAACTTTGACCCACGTGATCACCTTGATGTTCGTACTCGCACTTTACAGCTCAAGTCCATTTGTTTATTTGGGCGTTCATCGCAAACCTCAGGATCGGCCTTATGGTACTGAACAATGGGTCGTTGTTGTTGCATCTGCTATAATAGAGACTGCTCCCGATGACTCATCTATTGATACTTCCTAGCGATCATCATACCGTTCAACAAAATATGACCTATACATGTAGTTATTCTTCTATTGAACATTAGTACGGCTGTTGGCCTGCAATCGAGCTCCTTATTCATATCGGTGACCTTTCAAAACCCATTGTCGTCATATCTGGAATTTCGGCTAAGACTCACGTCTCTTTCTTTTATGCGAGATATCTTCTTCACAGCCTCAACATCAACTATTGAGATTTTCCTCGCAACGAGCTTCTCCTCTTCACGGTCTCGACATCGACTCTGCCTCAACATCAACTATTGAGATTTTCCTCGCAACGAGCTTCTCCTCTTCACGGTCTCGACATCGACTCTCAATATCTTCTCCGTCGATGTACAAGCCTCGCAACGAGCTTCTCCTCTTCACGGTCTCGACATCGACTCTCAATATCTTCTCCGTCGATGTACAAGGATTTCTATCCTTCGCCGTTCAATCTCCTTGCTACTACAAATTTCTCCATTGATGTATAAGGATTATTATCCTTGTTGTTCATCTCGTTGACATTGAGTTCTCCTCCATCGATGCACTTGGATTCCTATCCTACCCGATCGATCATACAGCCATTAGGTTTCTCTTATAGGTACTCCTGGATTACATCCTATATTATATATCGATTTTGTCACAACAGTTAAGACTCTTTCATCGACTCTCAGACACGTGTCTTTTGCAAATACCCACTCTTCTTATCTAAACTCTCGGTGTTCGATCCACCGTGAGTTTGAAGGGGGGTGTTAGATAACATCATGAGTTACCTCAGCCGTAGACCTCCTAGTCGCCGCTCTAGCCGCCTACATGTGCAGCCGCCTCCTAGCCACCCTATCGTCTCCTAGCCATCTCCTAGCCACCTCAGTTGCCTCCTACTGTGCCTACTACTAGGCTACTGATTATGTATATATTGTGCCTACTACTAGGCTACTAATTATGTATGTATATATATATATATATATATAATATATATATATATATATATATATATATATATATATATATATATATATATATATATATATATATATATATATATATTATATATATATACTATATTAATATTTATATATATATATATCTTGAAACTGATCTGATGATCATATAAAGTTATCACTATCAAGTTCTCTTCAATACCAACTTAACATATCTATTATTACTTATATGGTTTATTTAGATATTAGTCTTTTTAATCTTTGAAATTGCGCAATCCCTTTAATCCCAAGGGATTTTGCAATTTGATCTCTCAATGAGTAAAATATCCCTCGGTTTATGTTTTTCCCCCGAAAACTATCTGTGTTTTAGAAAAACATTAGCTGACATGTATTTCGTCATTCGGGGGCCAAATTGAAAAGCCCTTAGGATTTGAGAGGCCTAGAACAATGTCAAAGATTTGAGGGACAAATATGGAATTGTTGAAGATTTGAGGGACTAACATCTGATAGTCCTACTTATATATTTGCACATTGGGATATAGAAAAAACTCACATATCCTCAACTTAATTCCTTACATGGATCTCACAAAAGAGAAAAGTGGAGATGAGCTTATGAAGGCCCAAGCATTGCTATGGACTCACATATTCAATCACATCGACTCCATGTCTCTCAAATGTGCCATAGAGCTCGGCATCCCCGATGCCCATATCCATTTCTGAGCTTCTCTCGGTCCTCCCAATATCACCATCTAAATCATCACATCTCCATCGACTCATGCGAATGCTAACTCATTCTGGAATTTTCTCTGAAAATGAAGAAAATATGTACTCTCTCACTCCTGTTTCTTCTATCCTCGTCCAAAACAAAAGCTTAGACTTGTCTGGTTTCCTACTAGCAATGCTGCATCCTTTTGTAGTGAATCCATTTCAATCAATGAGCGCTTGGTTCAAAAGTGACGGTGAACCTTCACCGTTCTCAGTTGAATATGGCTGTGGTGTATGGGAGATGACGGAGCGGAATTTCAATTTTAATACGGTTTTTAATGAAGGAATGGCAAGCGATTCAAACTTCTTGACGAACGTTTTGCTTGAGGAGTGTGGTCACGTGTTCGAAGGCCTGAAGTCGTTGGTGGATGTTGGTGGAGGAACTGGGTCTACGGCGATGGCTATCGCTGAGGCTTTTCCGACTGTGAGCTGCAGTGTTTTGGAGCTCCCTCAGGTTGTCAGTACAATAAAAGAGAAGGGGTGCGTAGAGTTTATTGCTGGCGATATGTTTGATTACATTCCCCCAGCTGACGCTGTGCTGCTCAAGGTAAATAGTGCATCTGGACAGTTCTATTTACAATTTTCTACGTGAACAGTTTAAGATGATAACCATGATTAATGCTAATTCTATGGTACTTATGATTATGCCTAAATGCAACTGAATACACTAATATTCTAGAATTTAATCATACAGGTGAAGATTTTGCCACGAGGTGTCATGGTCTATTAAAGTTATTAAATAACTTAATTTGTTTATTTATTTTGACTGATTTTCACTTTTATACTTTGTATTCATTTTCACTTGTCATGTAAGATAATTATGATAAATTAAATATTAATTGACAGTTGTTGCTATAGTGTTATTTGTGGAGTCTAATTCACATGGATCGAATATATATCATTGAGAGCCAAAATTAGACACAAAATGACACCCAGACTATAAAGAGGATAAACAGAAACCATATCTTATAAGTATGAATCTTCAACCACGTGTTATAATTTGTGTCAGGAAAGAAAAGTAAAGACGGTTGAGAGATTTGTTATAATCCTTCTTTGATAAGTAATGGAATCTTGGCCAACGGGTTGTACTTCAAGGATGATAGATAAACATATTGAATGCTGTAACTCATTAAGTATGTGTGTCAGTGTGTCTCTGTGAGCCCCCCCCCCCCCCCCCTCTCACCCCTCTTCTTAATGTTATTTTCCTTTTATATATATATATATATATATATATATATATATATATATATATATATATATTTATATATATTATATATATATATATATATATATATATATATATATATAATCAATATGAATGAACTTGTTACCACGCATAAGTTTTTGTGCTTGATAGTGATGTGTCTCCAACCCATTTGAAAATTGATCTCTCATTTGAATGAGTGGATATGAATAAGACATCTTTACTATCAAGCCCAAGAATTTGTGCTTGTACCAAGTGCTATTTTTTCTAATATAATAATGTAAACAAACAGCTCGCGAATATTTAATAATGGCTAGAGTTCATTACTAATTTTAGTTAAGTATACCCTCTCCATACAGAGTCTTGCGGAGCGCTATCTACTCCATACCATTCATGTTATGATCACTAACAATAGAATAGGGATTATAATTTGGCCAATCAAATAAAACATGAGAAATTGTTGCATGTCAAAAATAAAAAAATAAAATAAATAAAATAAACATATAATTTAGCCAATCGAATAAAACATGACTTCGTTTTACATATTTATCTCATTTCCATCTAATGGGTTTTTTGAGTATCACCTGCAGTGGATCCTTCACGATTGGAATGATGAGGAGTGCGTTAGTATACTAAAACGATGCAAGGAAGCAATTATTTCTAGAGAGGATGGTGGCGGCAAAGTCATTATTATTGACGTGGTGATGGGCTCCAACAAATGTTATGAGAAGTCGAACACATCTCAGATTTACATGGATATGTTGATGATGGTAATGTGTAATGGTGCTGAGAGAGGAGAACAAGAGTGGGAGAAGATCTTCATTGATTCTGGGTTTAAGGACTACAAGATAACACCAACTCTGGGTTTGCGTTCAGTCATTGAAGTCTATCCATGATTTCATGTTTTTTTACTCAGTCTTAGTTGTACTTTAAAAAAAATTAAGATTCTGGTATGTTCGACCGGCACTCCTACGCAAGGGTGTTTCTGTTAGATTTTTGCAAGAATTATGGCATTTATGTTGATTTCCTAGTATAAGTGTATTTGTAATCGTTCTCTGCAGATATAAGGCCATTTAGTTTGATTTTCAAATGCAAGGACAATTCCAAAATTTATGAGAATCTGACACGTACACACACACACACGGAGAAACCAAAGTATCTTCATTGCGGCAAATCCAAGCACACTAACTTTGACCTTTTTCTAGTGTGACATTTTCAAAATGGGTTTTGCTATGCGATTGTTAAAAAGAAGAGAGAAGAAGAGAGATAAAGAAATAAAGAGTAGTAGACAGAAAAGAGATGAAGAGAATAAAGAGTAGTAGGCATTCTAATCATCTTCTCCTCAAACCTTAAATTCGGAATTATTCTAGCCCTCCAACCAAACTATGTTAAGTATTAAATGGTTGAAGGGGTCAGTTACAAATGTAACCCGGTGAAATTATCTAATCAAAACCCATGTTGTAATTATAATAGAGTTTAACATTTGGGATAATAAAAAAACTCAAAGCTTAACAAACTTGTGCATCCATTACTGCGATCTGTCCCTGGATATGCACCAAAACTGGAAAAATAAGCTAAATATCTATTAACAATAGCGAAAATGGGGGAAAAGATCTTTGGTCTACTAATTATCTATTAACTATATCGAAAATGGAAAAAAAATGTTAGAAATTGAGGTTAAATCTAGAATTGAATAGTGAAGGATAAGGTGTTGTTATTTTAAAATTTCAATTAACTGCTGTGCGTTTGTGAAACGTTGTGCTTAAAGTAATATTTGGCCTACTCCGGTGCAAGGATCCCAAGACCAAACTGTTTTCAGGAACAGTAGTACAGTACTCTGGTGTGCACCAACCCAGTACTGTCAAGATCTCCTCAATCTATAAGACCTTTCAGTCAAGGCAAAAGATCTCCTCAATCTTAGAAACTTACGGTTCAAAACCTTTTGGTTTCAGGGTTCCTGCGGGCACAGTTTCTACAGCAACAGCACAACAACGTCAATCTGATGTTCGTATTCCAAGCTCGCGTGGGTATTCCGACGTTCATATTCTATACTGACGTTCGTATTCCACGCTCGCAAGAGAGTTTCCAACATTTTTTAAGAGCTGCCCAAGGGTGTTATTTATAGGCCTCTAAGGCCAGCTCAAGAGTCATTAGCAATTAATATGACTGTTACAATTCTTAATGACAATTAAGATTGTAACATCAATGCATTAAATTGCTCTTAATGTTAATATGACTGTTACAATTCTTAATGACAATTAAGATTGTAACATCAATGCATTAAATTGCTCTTAATGTTGTAGTAACTGCTGCATGTAGTAACTGCTGAACACGAGGCAATCAATGGACGCGTTGCTACGAAACGCGAGGGTCACGACTCAACAAATCAGACGAACCTCGTTTGACAAACGAATGTCGTCAACCAGGTGAACCTCGTATGACAGACGAACCTCGTCGAACAAGCGAACATAGTCAAACAGGCAAACCTCATATGACATACGAACCTCGCCGATCGAGCGAACCTTATCAAACAGGCGAACCTCGTCGAACGAACGAACATCGTCAACAAGCGAACCTCGTATGATAGGCGAACCTCGTCAAACGAACGAACATCGTCAAACAGATGAACCTCGTATGACAGATGAACTTCGTCGAACAAGCGAACCTTATCAAACTATGAGAACGCTAGGGTCACCCTCGTACGAATACGTAGCTCGTCCGCATGCTGCGAAGCAGCCTGCGAGGCAACCAACGTGGCGCCAAACAGCGCCACCTCACCCTGATGCCTCCATGCGGAGTGCAAAGTGCGCCTAACAAAGCGCCACTTAGCGTTTCAGCCCGATTAGCCCCGATCCCCGGCCCATTGGCCCACGGTCCACGACCCACTAGAACTTATGAGGGATTAATTCAATAAAACACTTCTCGGCTTGCCATTAGCAAGCCTCGAACAAGTGACCTTTCAAAACATAAACTTTCCACTAGGCTACTAAGCATTTATGAAAAGTACATGTAGTTAATATATATATAGTTTGAAAACTCATTTTGGAAAGCAGTTTTGACCAAAATATCCAACAATCCCCTATAAGTTTTTAAACTAGTGTCGTGTTATGGTGCCGTCGTTTCAATCGTTGCGCATAAGGTAGATGTCGCAAGGACTTGAATCCCCTTTAGACCAACTGAATAGAAGATAGATGTATGGTGTCACAGAGACTTGAACCAGCACATGTCTAAAATCCAGCGATCACACAAGATCAAACTTATCTATGATAGTTTTTACTTTGAACCACACTTGTCTTTGCCTTTGCAAATTTATGGCCCTGTGCTAGTCCTGGTTTCTGCTAGGGCTCTAGGTATCTTTCCACAAGACACCATAGGAGATGGTCAAATCTCCACCCAGGCATAGATGGGTTCTTTAGGTATGTTTCCTATCAAACATCTCGCATCCGAAATGCTTTGAACTCATTAAGGCTTAAGAGCCATCCTCTCTCATGATAGGATTCTAGGTGAGTCCTTTAGGCGTGTTTCCTATCTAACACCCCGCATCTGAAATGCTTTGGACCCATTAAAGCTTAACAGCCAAGCCCCTTTACATGATAGGATTATCGATGAGTCCTTTAGGCATGTTACCTATCCAACATCCAGCATCCGAAATGCTTTGGATCCATTAAGGCTTACGAGCCAACCTCTTTACATGATAGGATTTCACTTATAAATCTTACTTGACTTTTGAACCATTCATCTTGTCATTAGTAGCATAAGCTTTGAACTAATAACTTGACGAAATAGTAAGTATTTGTAAGACTCGCCAAACTTTGCAAATCTTACTTGACTTTTGAACCAGTTATCTTTATTATTAGTAGCGTAAGCTTTGAACTAATAATTGGATGAACATGGTAAGTATTTGTAAGACTCACAAAACTTTAAGACACATTGCAGTAGACGTCCTTTCGACTATGTCCTTTTTCAGACCTTTAGTCAAAGGATCAGCCACATTCTCTGAAGACCGAACGTTAATCACCGAGATGACTCCTTGGCAAATGAGTTCTCTCAAATAGCCATGTTTCAGACGAATGGTCCGCTTCTTTCCATTGAACAACGAGTTCGCTGTTACAGCACCAGTTGCCTGATTATCACAATAGATTGTAATTGCACCTTACAATTCTGTCAATGGAAGGTCTCGGAGAATACAACTGAGCCACTCAACTTCATCTTTTGCAGCACAGAGTGCGAAGAACTCAGATTCCATCGATGGCTGTGCAATCATAATTTGCTTCTTAGATTTCCACGAGATGACAACTCCGCCCATAGTGAAGACAAAACCTCCAGTAGATCTACACTCATCTGGTTCTGAGCACCAGCTCGCATCTGAATAGCCTTCGATTACAGCCAGATATCCAGTTTAGAATAGGCCCAGACCTATAGTTCCTTTCAAGTATCTCATCAATCTCTGGACAACATTCCAGTGAAGCTTTCCAGGATTACTTGTGAACCTACTAAGCATTCCTATAGCAAATGCTATATCTGGCCTTGTGCAGCTCATCGCGTACATAAGACTTCCAATTATCTTTGAGTACCTTAGCTGCTCTACTAGTCTTCCAGTGTTCGGTTGAAGCTTCTTGTTGTAATCATACGGCACTAACAGTTCTAGCAGGTCGTAGTAGTCATACTTCCTTAGCATGCTCTCGACATAATGAGATTGGGACAATCCAATACCCTCTTCAGAGTATATGATTTTGATTCTGAGAATCACGTCCGCATTTCCAAGGTCCTTTGTACTGAACTGAGCTGATAGACATTTATTGGTAGATGTTACTATCTTCAAATCACTCCTGACGATGAGCATATCATCCACATAGAGGCAGATAACCACCACCTTCCCTTCAGCGACCTTGATGTATAGGTACTTGTCAGATTCACTGACTTGATACCCATTGTTACGAACAACCCCATCGAACTTCTCATGCCAGAGTTTTGGTGCCTGCTTAAGTCCATATAGAGACTTAATAAGTTTACAAACTTTACCAGCTGGAGCATCAAGTCCTTTTGGTTTCTCCATGTAGATCTCTTCTGTGAGGTCTTCATTAAGAAAGGCAGACTTCATATCCATCTAATGTATGACGAACCTTTTTATCGCCGCCCATGCGATAAGCACTCTGATGGTAGTGATCCTGCAAACTGGTGCATAAATGTCAAAGAAATCTATAAAAATCCTTCTCTCTGAGAGAATCCTTTCGCCACCAGTCTTGCTTTGTACTTCTCAAGAGTACCATCAGGACAAAGCTTCTTCTTAAAGATCCACTTGCAACTGATAGGCCTAGCACCTTCAGGTACATCCACCAGCTCCCACATGTTATTTTGGATTAATGAATCCATCTCATCATCTATAGCTTCATTCTACAGAAGAACGTCTGTTGACTGCATTACTTCTTGGAAAGTCTGTGGATCTCCTTCCACATTATAGGTGATGAGATCATCTCTAAAATCTTTCTGTCTCCTGACACGCTTGGAAGATGGTTCGGTAACTCCTTCATCACTGACATTTTTAGTTTCTCCCGAAACTGGCTCATCTGGTGCGTCTGACATACTAATATTCTCTACTATATCTTTGAGCAATAATCTTTTATCTTTAATAAACTTATCCTCAAAGAATTCTGCATCCTGAGCTTCAATGATGGAGTTGGTTCCAAGGTCAAGGAACCTGCAAGCATCACTATCTTCAGCAAAGCCAAAATACACACATCTGTTTGCTTTTAGTCCGAGCTTAGGCCTTCTGAGATCTGGAACTCGAACATGCGAGACACCCACAAACTTTAAGACTATCCAAATGATCTGGATATCCTAACCATAACTGATGAGGAGTACTATCAGTTTAAGAATAGGGTACTCTGTTCAGAATCTAGTTTGCCATCAGCAAAGCCTCTCCCCAATAGCATGTAGGTAGACCGGATGTGATTAGCATCGAATTCACCATCTCGGTCAATGTGCGATTCTTCCTTTCTGTAATTCCGTTAGATTGCGGAGAATACGGAGCAGTAGTTTCAGCAATGATTCCATACTTCTTGAAGTATGCCTCCGACTCCTT